GTGTTATATCAAGAGTAATAAATTCTAATTTGTTTGTGTCAATAGCTCTTTAGAAAACAATATATGATGTAGCCAGAACAAAAGCAATGTTCCTAAATTTTCATCACCAAGACAGTTAACCAGAGCTCAAATGTTGAATATTAAGAGTTTTAGATTAGGTGGCTTAAGGAAAGCAAGATCATAGAGATCCAATTTAGTGCAATGAAGAAATAGAATTATTATTTATATATGTTTTTTGTTTATTTAAATTTCAGTGATGATACTGAAGATTGTTGTAGAAAAAAGTGTTGTATGGGGAATAGAACAGAAGGGAGAAAGAAAAAAGGCAGAGAGAAAAGAAGGTTGGGTAATAATTAAGGGATTGGAAGGAAGAAAAGAAAGAGGGAAAAGGAAGGTTTATTGGGATGAGATTCCCTGATGAAAGATGACATGAGCAAGAAGTAAGTATGAGCATATGTTGATTGTTGAGAAAGAAAAGAAAAGAAAAGAAAAGGAAAGGAAAGGAAAGGAAATAGAAGAGAAGCTTTTTGTTTGTCTGGTTGTGAGCGTGAGGCAGAGAGTAAGATAAAAAGAGGGTGTCTTTTTTACTAGGCAATTGGCATGTATTGTACATTAAACCATGCATTTGCAACTTACATCTACTTTCTAAAAGCTTGGATATTCATATTCTTATACCTCCTCCTTTCATTAATCCCTAGGCTCCCTCTTTACTCTTCCTGAATATACCAATTAGATTTCACAATAAAGATAATCCCCCATTCTCTTTATCACAAAACCCATCTCAACTTTGTGTTAGAGCTCTTGATGAAGGGTCCAATATGGAAGAAATGGTGGGTCATGGAGACAAAGTAATGAGGAAACCATTACCCAAATCGAATTATTTGATATTATTATTGCAGGTTGAGGCTAAGCTGCTACCAACTAAAGGGAACTGTGTGACATGGGGACGTGCACAGAAATTGATAAAGTTATAACTATTGTAATTTAGCATCTTTTTCATAACCGTTGACATTCATTTTTCTTACTTTGATTTTTTTTTTTCCTTCCTTCTTTTCCTTTTGGGTTTTGGTTTACCACTAAGTTCCGGACCACCACCACACCCAGCACAAATACACATACGCCATGATCAACTTAGTTACTCCCTTTTTATCTCACGCAGTCACGCTTACACACCTCTTTAGGAAAGTCTACGTTTTTCTCGAAATTATCTAACTCTTTTCTCTTAGTACACATTCATTAAAGAAAGTTGCTTCAAAAGAATTTCTTGGAATTTGATTATGTCTATACTCAATTCAATTTTCAAAAAAATTCCCATATTTTCTTCTTACAAGTTTTATTAAGTCACACTCGATTACAGCTAGTGTGAACGAGTTTATGACTTTCGAGTTTCATTTCACAAAATTTAATAGGCTGAGTGCCAAATTCTCTCCTAATTAAATGACAAAAAAGTTCCATTTCCACATCAATGGTAGTTGCTGGGAAGAAGACTTCTTCTTTCTGATTCAAGCTGACAAAGCAATTTCAATCTAAATTTTCTTTTTGCTTCCAATTTTGTCAGGTCTACATACTATCAATTGACGGCAAAAGGAAACTAACAGTCTTAACATTATATTATATTATGTTATTGGTATTGCTTAGACTTAGAGCTCCCATTTTGTTTATATAAAGCTATATACAGTATTGACTATTGATAGAGAGATTAGGTTAATTTGAAAAGATAAATTATGTCTTCACTTTATACTTGTCAAAGAGTGATGGCGAGATGCCTTATTTGATTCGAATGTAAAAAGTTGACCATAATATATATACAATGGTTGAAAGTCATGTTTAATTTCAATCTTAATTATCTCTCTTCATCTCTTTAACTACAGTACTAAAGTTAACCATTTAACGTACCCTCTTGGAATCTGGAAATATTTTTGATTTCATGGATAATTAATTAACCACCATAATAAAAAAAAACTAAAATGAAATTAAAGGGCTATCACTATCTATCAACTTACAACCAGTAGTATTTGGTTACTTAGAAACGCAAGGGCTCACCAGCTTGTGAATCCCAACTCTCCACCGACACCCTTACCTGACTCACCCACAAGTTTATCTCCTCCATCTATCCTAACATGCTTTGTTTTTCTCAATCTTCTAATGCTTTTCATCATCTACATAATTCAATCATACACGTGATTGAACGAATGTATATGTATTAGGGTAAATCTAAAAGGATGATGATAGTGCATGTAGTGTAGGGTCTTCATGTGAGAGAATGAAAATTTATACATATGTATGGCTCGTCGATTTTCTTTCGCTTTGTTTGGATACAAATACAATGGATATATATCCCTTGAAACTTGTCTATAACTCAATAATGGGGCGCACGAAATTTCCATATAACATTCAACCATGGATCATGTTCATGTACGGACACTGCATGCATACGTGTTCATTTCAGTAGTTATAAAGCACAAAGATATATATATACACAATTTGAACTTAACAACTAGGCTTTTAAAATAAGCTTTTAGAGAATTGTAATACGTTAATTTTTGTTCTAAACTTCTAATTAGGGGTGTTCAAAAGTGGTTAACCGTTTTTCTAAACCGAATCGGATTTTCGGTTCAGGAAAATTCCCAAACCGAAACCGAACCAGTTTTTGGGAGAACTGGTTTTTCGATTAACCGAAAAACAGGTTAACCGTTTTAAAAAAAGCGGTTAACCGTTTTTGAACCGGTTTTCCCTTTTTTTTTATAAATTTTTTTTTTTAATTTTGTCCTAACTTAAATTGTAAATATGGACAATACATTGGGAACTAAGAAAAAAAATTTGGGTTGAGATTTTAGATTGAGTGAATTAGGGATTTATTTTAGTTTAGGTTATTATTTATTTATTTAATATATATATATATATATTTGAAAAACCGGTTTTTGGTTAACCGTTTCTAATTTCTCCCGAACCGGTAATCAAACCGAAACTTCGGTTTTTTGAATTTTTCGAACCGTAACCGAACCGTTTTTTTGGTTAACCGGATTTTCAATTCGGTTAGCGGTTTGGTTCGGTTTTTGCATTTTTTTGAACACCCCTACTTTTAATTGAGATCCTTTCCACTTCATTAGGAGTATATATGATCAATCATTGAAGAAATGTTTAATTTATATTGGTTGGGAGAGATTTTATTCTTATTGCTATAGAAATAAGAATAAAATCTCTTATTGTTTTGATTTCTTATTTTATAATTCATGTTTTAGTAGTATTAGGATTTCAATTCATTGTTTTAGTAGCATTAGGATAACATGGAAATAGATATCAAAAAGTCACTGTAAAATTGAGTGATCAGATTTGACAACTTCATTACACTGATCAAATAGATATTAATATCTTCCTCAATAATCCAAATGAACAATTAGTTGTGTATGTTTTAATTGAAAAAGAAATCATTACTGGAATTAGACAAGAAAAAGAAGGAGATAATCTTGAGGACAATAGTACGGAAATACAAAAAATTTCATGCCAAAAAGTTTTAAACATACTTGAGAGTTAGAAATATTTTAGCTTTAACAAGAAGGTGTTCATGCTGATGGCTTATTATGTATCTGCAAGATGTAACAATAACTCTTAAGCATAAATTATTGTCCTACACAACTTTAAATAAATATTTTATTTTATCTTAAACCTTTAATGTAACGTAGCATATATTTTTTGCAATATGCATATAATTATTACTATATAGAGGCAAATTCTTTAAGACGGGATCTTAAAAAAATATAATTTATTTTTATTTATAACTGACCAAAGTTGGGATCGGAAGTTTTTATAACTATATGAAAATTATTCCTCTATATAATATCAGTATAGAGATGTTCTACTATATATTTAATTAACGGGGTGTTTTTTTTTTTTTTTTTTCTTCACCATTGGCTCTTAATAAGTCTTTGTCTTCATAATCATCCAGCTGGGATCAAAGTTAATTTCAAAATAACTTATGATGATAATGCTTGAATTGATGAAAGTACAAATATTGTTGGTACAAATTAATCACATCACGCATTCATGTGATACCCTTTTTCAAACCCTATAGCTTTATTAAAATATTGTCAACTT